TATATATATATATATACACACACACACACGCGTTTTATATTATAATTGGTATATATAATATATATATATATATATATATATATAAAATAGTATAATATATAATCTGCTATAATAATATTATAATATATTAATATTAAAATCTTAATAAAGAATAATAACAATGATATACCATAATAACATAATTATTATAATAATTTTAATATACCATTTAAAATATACCAAAAGAACTCCAAACGCACCTATCTGGCTCAATTGATGAGTTACGTTTGAAAGAACAATGAAAAACATGGGTGGAAGGGGCGGTAGGAGTGTTTGGGAATGTTTTTGGAAACTCTCTTTATTTTTGTAATTCCATTTGATGTCGCTAGTCACCTTTTAAACGTCTCCCGAGAGCAGGGTGGAGGAATTACAGTCCTCCTGTCCAGCAGCTCTGTGTTTGTTGATTTTGCCGGGTTTTAATCTGCCGAGCGTTTGTTCTAATCGTGGACTCTATTCTCTCAGAAAACCTCCCTGTCTAAATGCACAGAAATAGCAGACGTAAGACGCAAAATAGGCTTACGAAGAACGAGAGATGTATTCTAGGTATCAATACAGATTTTCAAAAAAGGACAACCCTGCCGTCCGCTCGTTACGGGCGGTATTTTGGGAAGGCCGCGTCCTGGCGTCCGTGGGCCGGTAATGTGCCACTCTTGGGTGCAGCTCACACAAACTTACCAGGCCACCATCGGCGTCCACCCTGACGAGACGGCCAGACTGTAAAGGTCTAAACGCAGTGCCATCTGTGCTACTGTGCGCCGCTTGTTTTGTGTAAATGTAGCGATTCGGGCTTGTCAGGTTGCGTTTATGTCATGCTCTGGTTTAGCCCTTCATGAACTCCAGTGTATATTTGCAGCTGGATGAAGTCCAGTGTCAGTGAGGACGCTGTATGTGTGGGCAGTGCTGAGATTTGCGTGGTCACCACTCTCTCATTAGCATGCGGCGTGAGCTCACAGTCAGACAGACAGGCAGACACGCACAAACATAAACGTGCACAGCTGCTGACTCAGCTCTTTACAGGCATCATTCCTTCACTATGTAAACAAGCAAACAAACTATACAGGAGGGATGTTGCTGAAGGACAGGGGTTCAGTGTTTTTAGATCGATAATGAGATGGAAAAACATGCATGACAAAAAATAAATTTAAACCTAGAAAAACACTATAGAATAAACTAACAATGGTGCAACTACTGTGCAAAAGTTTGGGGTCAGTAAGATTATTATTTTTTATTTTATTGTTTGAGAGAGAGAAATTAACACTTATTCAGCAAGGACGCATTAAAATTATCAAAAGTGACAGTAAAGACATTTCTGACATTACAAAAGATTTCAATTTTAAATAAATGCTGTTCTTTTGAACTTTCTTTTCATCAAATAGTTGTTTTAATTTGTAATAATATTTGTATAATATTCATGATTTCACTGTATTTTTAATCAAATAAATGCAGCCTTGGTGAGTAGAAGAGACTTCTTTCAAAAACAAACAAAAAAAACAATTAAAACCCTTCAATTAAATCAAACAAAAGCTTCAAAAGCTTGTGATTCGATTCTGATTCGAATTCGATTTAGATTATTTTGGATATATATCAGATACAGTACATGGGGGGGAAAAATCTCTCAACTAATGCTGTAAAATATACACGAGAGTCAGTTGGTGCTGCATTACTATAATATTAAATATTAAAATGAACTGATTTGTATACAGATACTAAAATTACACTTAAGTTTTTATAATAATAAAGGTATAATACTGACTTTATATTTCTACTCCAATTCGTTTTTTGAAATACAGACTTTGTTTCAGATCAAAAGTAACAAAGCACAAAGCTTATTGTGATTTATTGGATGGGAGGCGCGCTACAGTGTTCTGTTCATTAACTGAAAACAGGCTAGACTAATCGATTATTGGGATTTAAGAATCTATATCGTTTTATACAAATGAGAATCAATTAAAATCTAGAAATCTTTTTTTTACCCAGCTCTACTGTTTTTATTATTTTGCAACTAAATTTTTTATTTTTATTGACCAAAACTATTTTTTGTGATATTCAAATGCACTAAAAATAATCAATGACATAAAATATTGACACATTTTTTTTTACCATCCCTACTGTTTTTGTCATTTTGCAACTACATTTTTTATTTTTATTGACCAAAACTGTAATTTTAGTGATATTCAAATGCACTAAAATTAATGAATGACATGATAAAATATTGATTAAATTTAAAGCACAAGTCAAAAGACAAAAAAAAAAAATGTAAAAAAATAAAAATGAATGAACAGTTCAAATGTTTCAGATCTTACACTGGATAAAGTGGCAGCCCAATACATAAAACATTAAGGACATAGAAATGTTCTTAAAAAATAAACATTAAAATGTATTTTTATTTGTTATTATATAAGTTTGCACCACTGGAAGCTTAAGTCTGGTCCTACTTCTACCGGATGTATCAAAAACAGATATAAAATAAACAAACCAACAAAAATAAATAAATAGACAAACCAATGGTAACATGATCTGACATTGAGTCATCTCCTAAATCTGTGGTTCAAAAATGACAAATTTTATTTTCGGCCTATATGGCACTTTTCTTGATACTGCCAGTAAAAAAAAAAAAAATAAACATTTGTAATGACCTCGAGAAATGTTGCGAGCCACAGCTCTGCCATGTGAAGAGCTCAAAGCTACAGCCGAGAAAGTTAAAGATTGTTTTGTGTTTTAAAAACCTTGCGAAAATTACACGTCTACAAAGTCTGTGCCCTCAGAGGCTGACGGTAATAGAGCCGCTCGGTGGAGAAACGCTCATTTACTGCAGAACTGGCAACAACAATGCTGCACGCTACACCTAATGACAGTCTGGGAAACACACAACAATTACCAACAAAAAGCAACTTTAATTGGAGAAGTCGAGCACTTAGAGGATCAGAAAAATGCCAACCTTCACGCTTTCGCATGAGTTTCATCAGAATATACACTAGTCAATAGTATGGAATTAAGATTTTTTTTTATTATTATTTTGAATGAAGTC